ATAAGTAAAAATAATAAAAATCAAAGTAATAAATAATAAATAAAATAATAATAAATTAATAAAAGAGTAAATAAAAAATTAATTAAAACTAAAAATAAAAAAAATAAAATAATGAAAATAATAATACTAATAATAACTAATACTAAAAAAATTATATTTTAAAAAAAAATGTAAAATTTAGAAATAAAAAAATATACTCGGTAATATATAAAATAATTTTAAAATAAATCATTTCCTTCCCTTACCATTCAAGGTGAAGGGAATTCTTTTTTATCATTTCCCATTTAATTTAATTATTTAATTATAGATATAAAATTTAAACATAAAATTTATATATTAAAAAATTATTGTACATCAATTTTTTTACAAACAAGAGAGATGACATTTTTGAATAAAAAAGAGAGATGACATAAATGTACTATTTTATCAAATGACTAATAACAATAGATAAAAAAATATTTAAACTTTGACCATATATAAATAGAAACTAGGAAGAAAGTGGTCATGATGAAAGGAGTATTTCTGACTTGTGAGTCTCACTAAGGGTCTGTTTGGTAGGAGAGGAGTGAAGAGGAGGCAAGGGAATTTGAGCCTATTCCTTTGTTTGGTTTAAAAAATGAAGAGGAAAACACTCAAAATTTTAGCTTTTATTCATTACTCTTTTCTTTAAATTAATCCGTCCATATTGGACGGGTCCATCTTGTCCTATTCTTCATCTTCCGTCACTTTTTTCTTCACATGCCCATTTTAAAAAAAATTAGAAATAAAATAAAAACAAACCAAAATAATAAAATTAAAAAGAATAATGCTCTGTAATATTAAATGAATGAATAAATAAATAAACAATGAGAAAATAGATAAACATAAATTAAAAAATAAAAATTATATATATAATGTATAGCAATTAAAAAAGTAAAAAATATCTTTATTAAATAATTAATAAAATAACAAAAATAAAAAAAATAGAAAAATATAAAATAAACTAAAGTAATTATAAAATAAAAATTAAAAACTTATAATTATAATTATAAAATAAATAATAAAAATCAAAGTAATAAATAATAAATAAAATAATAATAAATTAGTAAAAAAGTAAATACATTATAAATTAAAAACGGAAAATAAAATTAAAAAAATAAAATAATAAAAATAATAATACTTATAATAACTAATACTAAAAACAAAGAAATATATTTTTAAAAAAACATGGCTAGTAATTTAAAAAAAATAGATATAAAATCACATTTAAAAATGAAAAATATAAGATATACAATAATTTGACAATAAGACATTTCCTTCCCTTACCATTCAAGGTGAAGGGAATTCTTCTCATCATTGAATGAAATAGAGAATAGCAACAACTTTCTCCAAATGGGCACCATCCAAGAGCATCCAAATAATATGCTGCATCCAATCATAAATTAAAAAAAAAAGTGAAAAGAATTAGCAAGTCGGGGCAGACCCCCTTCGCGCCACCCGTCTTGCATAATCACACAACACCAAACATGTAACACATCTTCATTGGGGCATTCATTCTCCTCCCGAGCAATGTTTTGAAAACCGGACTGGGCATTGACTCGGAAGAGCAAGTGGGTCAAGGGCTAACCGGTCAAACCGATCAACTCGGGGGTCAATGACCCGATCAAATGTATGTAAATAATAATATTTTATATTACTCCGTATATTATTAGATGACATATGTAGTAAATAAAAGTATTTTAATTTATATTTTTTTACTTCTACATCTAGATTTTAGTTTCATTGAACATATACTCCATACTATTTTACATGTTTTGTTTTTATTCTATTATATTTTCATTATTATTACGGATTACAAGTTGATAGTGAATATCGTAGAAGTACTCGTTTTCAAAAATATAAAGACTGCATATTATTTCTTATATACTATTGACATTTTAATACTTATATTTAGTTGATTAAATTTTTTTAAAAATAAAAATTGAAATACATTAAATTATTATCAATATTTTAAAGATGAAAATACTCTGTAATATTTTAAATATAGGTTTTATTATTACTTAAATAAAAAATAAATAATACTAACTTTTAGCTTTGTACTAATCTAAAATTTCATAAAATAAATAAAGAGTAAACTATGATAAACACATAGAGTGTTCTCTATATTTAATAATTAGGATTATTTTTAGATTACTATGTATTATCTAAATATTTTAAAGAAGTAATATATCCTGTGTTGCATGGATTAGGAAACAAGTTTAGCATTAGCTCACTTGGATAAAGCCCACCTCAGTATCCTAGGACAAGGGTTCAAAACCTGGCCTATTTAATTAATTTTTAATAAGTGTTTCATCTAAACCCAAGAACCAACAGGTTCAAGCCGGGTCGCCCGGGTCGGCGGTTTTCCCGGTTCTGAACGGGTCAACTCGAAAACGGGTCTCAACAATGAACCGGACCGGACATGTGACTGGGTCACGGTTTAACCGGTTGGACCGACCGGACCGGTCCGGTTTTTATAACACTGCTCCCGAGGAGGCGACAAACGTGTGGTCAATTGACAAACGTCTTTTGGTCAATTGACATTAGTGTGGTTCTTCCCGAGGAGGCGACAAATATTCGAAACTGTTAGGATATTAATTCAATATTTCCAGAGGTTTGTGAGAGAAAAGATTTTCTAGAGAATTCTAGGGGGTGTTTGTTTTTTCTGCAGGAAAAGGTCTGCAGTCTGCGGACCACTACTGTACACATCTGCAAGAGAAGTGGTGGACCGAAGGTCTTCGGTCTGCAAGAAGAAGACTGTTTGTTTTTTAATGTTTGTAGACTGCTATATAAATTAATGGTGGTAGTGTACGGTGGTGGTGTATGGACGATTGTGGTGGTGGTGGAGGGTGGTGGTGAAGGGTGGTGGTGGACGTTGACGGCGGTGGTGGTGGACGG